CTATATAAGAACATTTCAATAAAATGACCTCAATTAACAACTGGCCAATCAGCTGTTTATTGGACAGCTTTCAATAATGCCACTTGGATTAAGCAAATGTACTAAAAAGAGACAAACAGTAGTATTGAACAGCCTCGCCAAAGGGAGGTTAAAGATGTAAGAAATCTAAGACCCAAAAGGGAGAGCGCTAATGATCTCCATGATCTAGATTAGATCTAATACCTAATGAGCTAAGAAATCTGAGAAAGATACCACCAGATAAATAAATATTTAATGAATATTACATCAGAATTGTCCTGGAGGTAGTCAGTGGGGAGAAAGCTCTTTTCTAGCTTACGTGGTCTGGCTTCACATAGGATGTGAGATTTAAGGGGGCTCTTTAAGGATAAATAGATTTGGATAGGTGAGAATACGAGTATCTGGTAGAAGAAAGTAAAAAGAGCAATACAAAGACCTCAAAGCAAGGAACACCAAGCTAGGCAGGTGGTAGTATACAGACCAATTGGAGTAGGAAGAATTATGAGGAAGGGATTTGGAGATTTAAATTTGACTGGTTCAGATTAAGAAGTCTAAACTTGATCCTTCAGGGAACACATTTCTAAATGGAAAATGACCTTTGAGAGAAATAACTCTGGAGGCAAGACGCAGGATAAATTTCAGGAATGGAGAGATTAGAAACAGAAAAACAATTAGAAAAGTTTATCCCATTACACATGGGTTCTTGTAATAGGTAAATGGAAACTGTGAGAGGGATGTGTGATACTGAAAACACAGCTTGTTCACTGAGAGTCGGGTCTAGATGAACTTTCTCCTCTTCTAAAAGACAATTACATATGGCATACTCCTCAATTATTCAGGCTTGAACTCTCCTAATTTCTCTTGCCCCTCACTCACCGACAGTTCCCTTCCCTGGACGTTTGCCCCCTCCCCGGAAACTGGCTTCTCCAACTTCCTTCCCCAACCACACAATGAACTCAACCAAAACAAAGGACTGCATTTACTAGCTCCTAGACACGCAGGGAATTCTCCTGCCTATAACTCTGTTCTTGATATTTCTTCCACCTTCTATGTGCTCTCCCCATTCTACATATCCAAATTCTAGCCATTCTTCACACACCAGCTCTAATGCCACTTTTCCCAGCAAGCCTTCCCCAAAGCCCCAACTTGAAATAAGCACTGCCTCCCAACACTCCCCACTTTTCTCTAAGATACTTTTTAAAAACCCTGTATTATAGTTTTCCTCATCTCCTCTGATAAGCTATATACTTACAGCAAACATACCCAATTTATTTTTTGTATTCCTTCACCCTTATTTCACAAGTTAAGTAAGATCTTGATAAATCTTATATGACAACAGCAGAGTGTAAGGTTAAGAACACAGACTCTGAAGACAGTTTGGATCTTAACTCTGCTGTTTATTAGCTATGTGACCTTGGGCAAGTTACTTAACCTCTCTGTGCTGCAGGATCTTTATGTATAAAATGAAGAGAACAGTAAGTATTTCATAAGGTTGCAAGATTTGGCTTAAAAAGTATAAGCACCACAAAGGTGTCTACTAAAAAAACACTTTTTATTTTTTGATTATTCTGTAACTATATAAAGCTTTATGACCTATATAAGGAAAGGCAAAATGTCAGTCTCTGGGTACAAACAGCTATATACAGATTCTTTCTAAATCTTCTTAGGTACACCCTAAGGGTTAGCTGTGCCCTTTATAGTCTTCCTTATATTAACAATGCTTCTGTTTGAGTTTGACATTTCAATATTCTGGGAAGATCTTTAGTTTAGCTTCCTGGGCAATAGCTACCTAATTGGTCTCCTTACCTCAAGTCTTAAACCCTTTAACCTATACTCCACAAGTCTTTTTTTTAAGTTAACATTATTTTTTGTAGAGATCAGGGTCTTGCTATGTTGCCCAGGCTAGTTCTGAACTCCTGGACTAAAGCAATCCTCCCACCTCAGCCTCCCAAAATTCTGGGATTACAGGCATGAACTTGAGCCACCACGCCAGGCAGTGAGTCTTAGTCTTTCTAAAATGCAATGCTAATATTTTTCCATTGCTACAAACTCCCTCCATTCTCTCTCTAAGGTAAAATTTAAACCCCCTGGCATCTCATATAAAGTCTTCCTACTCTGGCCTTGGTCTTGTCTTCAGTTTTGTTTCTCAGCACTTCTCTCCTTCCCATGAAACCTATTATCACCTGGCCACAGCTTCAAGGCTTTTTGTATGTCATTCCTTTTGCCTAGAACACCCATTTGTTAGTTTGCTAGGGTTTCCATAACAATACCACAGACTGGGTGGCTTACACAATATACATTTATTTTTCTCATAATTCTGGAGGCTAGAAGTCCAAGATCAAGTTGTTGTTAGGTTTAGCTTCTCTGGAGACCTCTGTCCTTAGCCTTCTTGATGTATCCTCACGTGGTCTTTCCTCTGTGTGTGCACATCTCCGGTGTCTCTCCTGTGTCCAAATGTCTTCTTATAAAAACAGCTGTCAGATTGGATTATGGCCCACCCTAATGGCCTCTTCTTAACTTAATCACCCCAAAGCCCTATCTCCTGATAGTCACATTTGGTTATGGGGTTAGGGCACCAACATAAGAATTTTGAGAGGACACAATTCTGCCCTTAACTCCCTCCGCTTTACTCTGCCCACAATAATTCCCATTTGTTTTTCCAGGAGTGGTCCAAGCTCTCCCACTCAAGGCTGATTTCAGTACCCTTTCTCTGAGCTCCCATGGTACCTCTATACGCTGCTATCCTACTGCTCAACATACTCTCATAATTCCTGTATTCACTGAGTTCCTTAAGAGCAAAGACTACATCCCTAGCACTAGCACACTGTCTGGACCACAGAAGGTATCTTAAAAGGATTTGATTATTGAGAAGTGAAGAATAGAGTATGAACCCTGAAATAAGACAGGTATGAGTTCAAATCTTGGCTCCACCATTTACTTATCTTGTGACTCTGGGCAAATCTCTAAATGCCAAACTTCCACTCTAAATAAGGAAGTTGTAAAGATAAGTGACTTAATTATTATAAAAGCACCTAGTTGTGGGGTTGGTACACAGTAGGCACCCAATAAACGTTAAATTACAGATTCTGGTTTTGCCTGGTTTGACATTCTTTTCTACCACTTTGTGGCTAAGTGACCTTGGGTATGTTTACTATTCTTTCTTTGCTTTAGTTTCCTATCTATAAAAACACCTCATGGTGCTATTGTACGGACAAGTTAATATAGGTAAATCATTTAGATGGGTATCGAGCACACACAGATCTGAACAGATATGACTATAAACCATGAACATCTTAGTTCCTTTAATTATTAAGTAACTTAAATGTGACTATTACCTTCATGCCTCTGATTTCTTACCAACTAAACAGGATCATAACTGAAGAGGTTCAAAAACTGGTACCAGTGATGTAATCAGAGCTCAAAATAAGCATCAAATAATATATTATCATCTGTCTCATTCCTTTTGTTGGTGTTTAACATAGTTTGGGCACTAAAATAAAATTAAGAAACTGGCAGTGGAGAACAACACTCCTTGGCTCATATTTTCAATTGTAAACTGTAGACTCACAAAACCTGTGAACTGGAAAGGAACTGTGTGATCAAAGTCCAGCCCTGTCATTTCTTACATAAGTAAACTGAGGCGGATTTGGAATAGGCTTTTAGGGTCTGTGAGAAATGGGAATTGTAGGTAGAACAATTTGTTCAAAAGTATACTAAAGCAGGAGTTCAGGACTTGCTCTAGGTGTCCAAGGTATGTTGAAATCATTCTTAGAAAATACGCTGGAAAATCCTTTGTTCAACCTTGAATGTCTGCAGTTTATGAAGGAGGGATGAGTTACCTTATCTGTAACTCTGAAGCAAGGCAGATCTAGATTTAAATCTCTGCTTGTTACATAAGCAAAGTATTTGCCCCTCAGATTAGTGCAACAGGTTTGTAAAAGTGATTAAGCGAGCCAACGTAAGTAGACTCCTAACTAGGATGCTGGGCAGATTGCAAGTGCTCAAATGTTGGTTCTTTCCGACTTCTTCCATTGCATGGATACAAGTCTGTAAGACAACAAAACAAAACACTATCCTGCACACAGCATATGCTTGATAAAAGTCTGAGACTTGTTGGACATTATTTAATTTTAAAAATAGAAAGTCAGAATAAATGCTGTAATGATAAGTGTCTTCATCCCTGGCCTTCCTGACCACCAAATATCCTTACAATTTGCTTTTAAGTGTCATGTCACCACGAACATGCTATTTGGAGATCACTGTAACTCAGACTTCTAATTCAACAGCAAGGATTTGAAGGTTGGTAAAAAATTTACCGAAACCAAAAACTGAAAGAGTTCCAACTTACTGAATTTCCAGTGAAAAGTTACTTTTTATTCAGCGCAGGAGCAGGAGATCTAAGCAAAAGATGCACGAACAAGTAACTGAATTCATTTCCATTATTATGACTCGGAATTTTTTTTAAGTGCTTGGTTTATATACGGGTATTAGAAAGGACATCTGCCAAATACCCATTAGTTACGCTTCAAACTAAAGTGAACCGTTCTTCTTTTAAAAGACATGTGGTGTCTGGCTCAAAAACAATTGCAAGAAAAGCCCAACTCGATTTGACGCAGAAAAATACCAATATCCTCCCCCGCCACAACTTACATCACAGATGGCGACTGAGGCTTAAGGTTTAATGCCCAGACACCAAAGCCCCTCATCCTACAAGACAGGGCTCCAGATGGATGCTGTCTGGCAGGGGACAAGAGTCTAACGAGAGGATGCCAGTCCTCAGAGGTGAAGAGTAGGGGTGAATCCCCAGGCGAGCGCCCAGCGCCCATCACCTTGCACCCACACTTGGGAAACAGCCCACTTCCCTCGCCCGGGCGGGGACTCGGGCTCCGGGGTCTGCGCGTGACCTCCGGGACCGGAGGGACGCAGGGAGGGGAGGCGCCTCGCCCTGCGGGGACGTTAGCCAAGGCAGGCTCGCGTCGAGCTGGAGAGGTTACTCACCGGAGCGGCGGGTGTCCTCCGTCGTCCGCGCGCGCCCCGCAGCAGAAGCCCCTAAAGCGGCGGCAGCCTGAGAGCAGCAGCCAAAGCTGCCGCCGCCGCTTGCAACCCGCTAGGGCGTGGCAGGGACGGGCGGACGACTTCACAGCATCATCACTCGGCGACCTCAGTTCCGCAGTGACGCCGCGTCAATGACAACCCCCACAAGCAGGACAGCCGAAGGAGACCCGCTCTCCCAGCAACCCCC